GGTAAAATTGCCCTCAAACCATAGAGCATCGCTGCCATCGGGGACGTCACCTGGCAATGTCACTGTTTGGGGGGTGGGGTTTCCCTCACTGGCCAGCTGGCCAGTGGTGGGCAGAAACCCCCAAAACCTGGGGATTCCCCACCCAAATCTGGGGAATGGCAACCCTAGCTGTAGCTTCAGAGGGGACAAGCAAGTCTACCCCTGTACCTAGGGCAATAATTCACTCTAGCTAAGTTTTTAAAGAAATTAATTTGTGACGTGACACCCACCTGCTCATCCCTCCTCTATCCAGCCATGATTTCATCAGTCAGGATGGATTTTTCAATAGCATAATCACCTTTATCATGTTTAAGTGCTTACTGTATTTGAAGAGAGGCAGCATGATGCAGTGGTTAGAATGCCGGACTATGACCGGAGAACCTAAATTCAAATCCCTAAGCAGCCACTTAGCTCACTGGATGAACTTGGGCTTGTGACTGAAACTTGGGCTAGGAAGAAAGAAATATGTACTCCCCGAGATCCTTGGAAGGAGGGCAGGATAAAGTGAAAAAGGCGATGACTTTTCATTATGACTGGGAACAGATCAGGGGTAAAAGGTGAATTTGAGGAACGTTTGTCCATAAGAAGCTCCTAAGCTTAAAAAAAAACCTTACCCAAAATAGGTTTCTGACAATTAAAAGTTATTAAATTACATGTAAACATTTGGCAAGAAAGTAACAGACATTTCTGATGGTCAAGAGGGTCCCACTGATTTTTCCATTAATTTATTTGAGATGCCACTGAGAAATCAGATAGCCTCACCCAGCAAGGAAGGCTGGCTATGGTTCTGTTGCTGTATGGGGGCAGTGTGGTGTAGTGGACATAGTACTGGACTAGAATCTAGGAGGCCTGGGTTTGGATCCCCGTTCTGCCATGAAAGTAACTTTGGGCCAGTGACTGTCGGTCAGCCTAACCTAACTCACAGAGCTGTTGTGAGAAAACTGGAGGGAGGGAGAGTGGTATTGTTAACTGCTTTGGGTCTCTTCTGAGGAGAAAAGCAGGGTATAAATAAATAAAAACAAATACATACCACTGTTGTTAATCTTGGAAGAGACAACAAACCCAACTCTTTCACCAAGTACCTCATCTCTACAGCTTCACGCTGCTGATAGAACATTTATTTACTCTTTGTGAAGTTGCTGGAACTGAGCTCATATACCAGTTGACAGCCCCGTCAGGGGTCATCCAGCTCCTAGCTAGGAAATGGCACAGTTTTGAGGCAGCTGTACCTGCATGGCCAAGCAACACCTTCTGGGGATGCGGATCTTCTCCATAGTAGTCCAGGGGAATGTCAGCCTTTTTAACTAAGGGGACATCCAGGAAGACAGAGAGTGTCCCCATAGTCCAGCCTTTCTGCAGAGACCTTCACACAGGTCTTCTCCTGCCAAAGGGGGATGGCCAATGTCCACTTTGAGTTCTTTAGAAGGGCCTGCACATGGAACTATGGTGCAACTCATGGAACTCTAAGACAATGGTTGCCGAGGATCCCATGTGTATTTGCTCTCCAAACATTCTGACTTAACATGATGCTGGCAGATGAGAACTTTGCATGTGTGCAGCATCTTGCTCGAACGGGGCCACTATGCATGCAATGTATTATGCATGCAGAGTTAACTCATGAGTGCCACGTCTGCTCAGGCTATCTCTGGCATGCTATATCAAGAAGCTGGCTGGAGTAAAGGGGTTGTCCCTCCCAGGGTGCTTTGCTAGGCAGCAGCCTGCTGCATGCTCTCTTATCCCCTCTGTTCCCTTCCGCTTATCCTGACCCTGGACAGAATCCAGGTGGGGACTGGAGATCTGGAATTACCTCTGAATGACGGAGATCAGTTCCCTGGAGAAAATGGCTGCTTTGGAGGGTTGACACTATGGCATTATAACCCACTTCCCTTCCCCAAACTATGCTGTCTACAGGGTCCTCCTCCCAATCTCCAGGAATTTCCCACCCTAGAGTTGGCAATCTTACTTCACAGCCACCACTCCTGTTATGGTGGGTCCTTATCCTGGCGAAGCTGGGAGCCTCCCCTTCCCCTCGATTTCCCTGCCAGTACTTACCTGATCGGGAGGAGGGTATTCTCTAGTAGGGTTGCCAGCTCTGGCTTGTGAAATACCTGGAGGTTTTTTTGGGGGGTGGAGCCTGAGGAGGGTGGGGTTTGGGGAGGGGAGAGACTTCAATGGGGCATAATGCCATAGAGTCCACCTTCCAAATCACCTTCCAGGTGAACTGATCTCTGTTGCCTGGAGATGTTGTAATAGCGGGAGATGTTCAGTCACTACCTGGAGACCGGCAATCCTACTCTCCAGACAAGTGAGCAAATTAGAGATGTCTTTAAATAACTCTGTAGGCACCAGATCAGGTCTTTGTGCCTTACCAGATTTCATTTGAAGATTAGAGATTTATTTTCTGATACTGCAACTGGGAGCCATTTCTCTGTATCTGGGGAAAGCAATGATTGAGCTATACTACTGTCAGCAGGTGCTGTGGCAAATAAGGCTGGAAAGTGTTGTAGCAGAAATATGACCAGAAAGTGGGGTTATAGAATTTAACTCACAGTCCTATCCCAAAAGATTTAACCATCTTTTCACTTAGAGGCCCAAGTAAAACATTACAAAAACGTGTAATGGCTAAAGTGATAATTGAGCAAATTAGGTGGGGAAAAGGCAAAAAGGTAGGAAAGCAAAGCTTACCTAATGATCAAGGCAGTCAGAGGCTTGACTAAGGGCTCCAGCTAGTGAAAATCTGTTGAGGGCAAATGTGAAATAGCGCTTAGAACAGTGACCCCCAGTGCAGCATCCATCAGTGTGTTTCCTGGTACCTACTGACTTCTTCCCCAAAGCAAAGAAGCCAAAGGAGGCATAACTCTTGTGTCTGCAGGGAGTACCCATTTGGAAAAAGCAGCCTCCATCACAGGAAGAGGCTTGGCACTTCCTAACTCTTTGTGCAACTTGGACGCTGCCCTTGTGGCCAGTGTTCCCTCTAAGCTGAGTTAGTGTGAGCTAGCTCACAGTTTTTTAGCCTCCGGCTCACACATTTTTGTCTTAGCTCAGGAAGGATGGCTCCAGAGCAAACTAATTTATGCAGCCGCCAAATTGCTCGCTCACAACTTTAATGCCAGTAGCTCACAAAGTGGAATTTTTTGCTCACAAGACTCCGCAGCTTAGAGGGAGCTCTGCTTGTGGCAACCATTTTATTGCCGTTCCAGAAGTGCCCACAAAGGTGAGGATTCCTGAGCAACTCTGTATGTCCATCCACATTGCAGAGGTTCTCACTGAAGCATGGGTTTGCCCGTTTTTCTTTCTTTTTTTACACAAAAGATTGTGACATTGCAGTTTCTATTTAAGGAACCAGAACCTTAAAAAAAAAGAAAGAATAGGACCAAAATCTGTTTTGTTTTGTTTTTAATAAAATCACCCTTTAACTGCTGGTGATGGGTTGGGAATATGAAAATGTTTCCCAAATTGTGGGGATAGGACTAACTCCCTCTAGCCTTGGAAATTCAAACTATAGTTTGGTTTCTAAGCAAGGGCTAGAACCCAAGGCACCCTTTGATGTGTTGTCCATGAACTGAGTGCAAGAGCTCAGGGGGGCCTGCTGGGCATAGGTGAATGATGGTTCTGTCTCATCTATTTAGCTTCTCCTCACTATGAAGCAGAATCTCTGTAATGACAAAAGGAATGTTAATATTCCTCCATAATGACCATAACCAAGCGGCCATTACAACTAGAGAAGAGGATGACCCTGGATGAAGAGGGGAGGGCAGGCGGGTCTGAGTCCCTGAAAAGGGCAGTACGGTGCGTCAGATTTAAATAGGATGAACAGAGTGGAGGGTTGCCCACACCTAGTTGGAAAATTCCTGGAGGCTTGTGGATGGAGCCTGGGAAAGGCAGAGTTTGGGGAGGGGAGGGATGGGATGCCATAGAGTCCAGCCTCAATTCCAGGGGAATTGATATATGTGGTCTCTAGATAGTTGTGATTCCAGGAGTACTCCAGCCCCCCCCTACCCCCGGGAGGCTGGCAAGCCTAACAGAAGGAGAAGCAGGATCTGTTGCTTGAGGTTTTGACTGAAGCACCTAAAAGGTCTGGGATCTCTCTAGGTGGTTGTGATGTGGGGTGATGTGGAGTGGGAGGGGTTGATCTGTTACCCAGCAGGAGTGCCAGCTGGACATCTGGAAATAAAGCAAATACTACAAAAACACTGTGAAGGCTCCATTGCTCTCTCCTTCGAAGGGAGCCAAACTCAATCAGCACCAGTTTCTGGAATTTCTCACCACATGCAGAAGTGGAGCAGGTGTAACAGTAATAGACGTGGGTGGTTCTCACATGGGGACAGGATTTTGTGGTTTCACCATTGCTGGCATGGCTGCAGCAGCAATAGGGTTTCCCCATGACAAGTTTCCCTGCTCCAGTCCCCCAGCAGCAGCCATCACCTTTCCTCCAGGCCATGTTGTCTCCCCACCCCTTTTCTTGTTTAAAAAATCAACAATTGAATGCCATTATAACAATATAAGGAGCTGCGGTGGCTCAAGTGGTTAAGACGCTGAACTGCAGGCTGTGGAAGATCAGTAGTTCAGCAGTTCGAGACCTGAGTTGCCGCATGATGGAGTGAGCTCCCATCTCTAGTTCCAGCTCCTGCCAACCTAGCAGTTCCAAAGCAAGAAATGGCAAGTAGATAAATAGGTACCACTTCGGTGGGAAGGTAACAGCCGGCCACATGACCACGGAAATGTCTTCGGACAGCGATGGCTCTTCGGCTTTGAAACGGAGATGAGCACCGCAACCCTAGAGTCGGATTCGCCTGGCTTTCGAGCAAGGCAACCTTTACCTTTATAACAATATATGTAGCAGATTCTCTAAATTATGAACGCTCATATTTCTAAAAAGAAAAGTCTCTAGACTAGATGTGCCTTCCCCTTTGTACTTCCCCAGTGGAAGGGACTAGAACCTTACTTCCTTTCTTTCTTTCTCTTTTTTTGCCTGTTACTAGAAGTGCCCACTTTGGACAGGCCTGCCCTGGCCTCTCAGGTTTGAGAAAGATAAAAAAAGCTGGGGAAACCTGAGGAGGTGCACAAATACATCAAACTGCTATGGGAAAATAACAGTAACCCCCCGTCCCCCACTTCCCAGCAACATTGGACCCAGGGCAGGTAACCTATGTGGCCAACAGTCTGGGCCTATCTGCATGTTACATTTTCTCCAGGGCCATGCACTCTGGTGCCAGGCATGCAGGGTCTGATTTGGATCCTTTTAGTGGAGATGAACCTGGAACCTACTGCACACGAAGAAGATGCTCTACCACTGAGCCATGGCTCCTCTCCATATCTAGAGAGTAGAAATGAATAATAATAGTAAAGAAAAAGTCCTGCTAATCGGCCAAACCAAGAAGAGGGGCATAACAAATCCTCCAAACAATCCAGCAGGTTTCTATAACAAATGTTTAATTGTCCATCAGCAGCCCATGGGACAATCAGAGGTCTGGAAGGCGTCCTCCACAGGATATGTGCTCCAACCAGGAATCTGGACATCATCGGTGACTCATTTCCTCCTGAAAGGGTGGGGGGAAAGGATCCATTTTATTCTAAAACAGAAAGTTGGCTCAAACTAGCCATTCTCAATTTGCAACTGCTGGCCCAAAAATGTTACTCTCCTATAGAAAGTAAAGTGCTTTGCCGTACTCAGAAACCTTATTCTGTGCTAAGGCCTGTATTTGTAGGAGCCATTTTGGAAAAGAGCAAAATTAGCATGGCATTTCTCTCCAGTATACTCTCATGCAAATTCCAATTGCAGCTATTCATTTAACATCCTGTAGATGCTCAAGAGACAGCATAGTGAAGCAGTCAGACTGTCGGACCAGGATCTATAGGGGAGACCCCGGCTCAAATCCCCATTCTGCCATGGAAGCTGACCGAGTATCCTTAGGCCAGGCACCCTCTTTAGCCTAGCCTACCTTGTCAGGTGGTTGTTTTGAAGATAAAAAGGAGGAGGGGGGAAATGGTGTAAGCATCTTTGGATCCCCATTGGGAAGAAACATGGGGTATAAATTAAAAAAATATAAACATTTGGCGAACTGGCATTCAACTTCAGGATTGGGCATCCAGATGTTTTGCAACAATTTTTAACAGACTCTAACAGGTGACATGCCATGAAACACTTTTTTACCCTGTACGCATGACATATTGGCACACAGGGCTAAGGTCCATAGAAGAACAGAACCAAATACTCTGGCCTGCCCCTTGTCTATGTGTGTTCCTCACAGGTGGGCATAGTGCATATAAGCTGTTTGTGTGCAAGTTCCAGTATAGGGTTTAAGAAAATGTGGTCACCAATTCTAACTTATCTTTCTAAT